CCTTGACAATTATTGTAACCTTCTAATAAAAAAAGTGTGAAGGCGACATTGGTGGAAGGCGATGATAATGCTAGTAGTGGTGGTGGTAGAAAGCAATTGTGATGGTGATTGTGGTTGTGATAGAAGGTGGTGGTGGTGGAATATTGTAATGATGTTGGTGGTGGTGGTAGGGGCAGTGGCGGTGGTGAAAGGTTGCGGTTGAGGGTGGAGGCAACGGTGGTGGTAGTGGTGGAAGCCTGGAAGGTGGCGGTAGAAGAAGGTGGCAATGGTGGTGGTTCGTGGCGGTAGTAGTGGAGGGTGATGGTGAAGTTCTTGGAAGGTGGTGGTGGCAGATGGTGGCGGTGGCAGTGGCAATGGTGGTGGTGGTTGGTGGCGATGGTAGCGAAGTGTCATTGTGGCGATGGAGGTAGTGAAGGGTGATGGTGGAGGTAGTGAAGGGTGATGGTGGTTGGTGGCGGTGGTAGTGACGGGTGGTGGTAGCGGTGGCAATGGTGGTGATGGTGGAAGGTCACGGTGGTAGTGGTGGTAGTGGTGATGGAAGGTAGCGGTGGTGGTGGAACGGTTGACCAAGAAATAAAATAAGAAAATGTTGTGAATCAATGAAAAATATAAGAGTAAATTAGTAAAATAATAAATTTATCATTAAAAAATATTGGCTTTTTAAAAAGAGGTTTCAAAAGTAACATTTTACTACTTCTTTGAGATGGACTTCATGTCCAGTGACTTTTAACCAAACGTCACAATTTTTTCCAAATGAAATTTTCAGACTTGGAAGGACTTGAAGCTCTCAAACGGGTTAAATACTGACTTTTGAATTGAGAAAATAACTCCACAAAAATGTATTAATAAATTACAAAATTTTATAATCGGAGGGTTTTCATTGAATTAGTCCACCAAATGTTAAATAGACCAAAACCATCAAATAATTTCTTCCCAAACGGGGCCTAGATTTCTATATATAAATTAAGTATTATGTCAATATTTTAAAGAAATTATATTCTTGATATTGAAAGTAAAAAATACAAATTTCCTTCAATTCTAGAAAGAAAAAAAAAAAGGAAAAAATGACTAAAAATATATGTATATTATACAAGATTTTGGCAATTGCCTGAAACGGAGGAAATCGTTTTTAATATCTTGATAACTAGGGGACCATGGTTGTTAAAATCGCGATTCTGAGTCGTAGAATCGCACGATTCTACGACTCAGCTCTTAAAATCGACTCAAATCGGATCAGAATCGCCCAATTGATAGAATCGTAGGTAGAATCGTTAGAATCGTTGTTAGAATTGTGGAATCGTACGATTCTACCGATTCTACCAAAAATGTGTGTTTGGGGCCTTTGGGCGGGCCTCTATACTATTTGGTCTTTGGGCCTTTATTCTTTTAGTTGTTTGGGCCAAAGCCTGGCCCAAATTTTGTATAAAAATTTATTTACCAAATTATATATTTTAATTAATTATTTTATAAATCATAAAATACAAAACGAAGTTACGAACCCTATCTCAGAGAGGAGTGATCGGTTGATTAACTATACATCAACCTTCACAATAGCACGAATCATTGTAAAATAGGGCTATTGGTCGGGTAAGTCGAACCACTGGGACTGCGCTAGTCTTAAGGCAACCTAAGTATCTAGAGTTATTTAAGAATGATAAGGTGTAATAAGGAGTTGTTGATTGGTTTGTCACTAAGCTAGTAATTGAAGTGTGCATAAAACAAGAATGCTAGTAAATGTAAAGGAAGGAGATCTAGGTAGAGAGGGCTAGGGAAGTGAATCCACTACCTATCCATAAGCATGTTAATACATGATTTACTTGGGGAATAATATATACACATAACCATGAAATGCAACAACATAAAATTGCTACATTACCTTCAAGAATTTTTATGAAATCAATAGGCAAGAATAACTTATCAAAGTATTGCATGTTTTGGTTACCTAAACTAGGTTGCAACCTTAGACATACTCACTAAGCATAGAGTTATCAAGCCCTTAATCACATAGTAGAAGCACATGACATTAGGAATCAAGAATAATTTATCAAAAGAGAACCCTAAGCTATAGACTATCAAATTTCCCAAGCATCATGCCAATAAAAACATTTCCATAAACTCATCTTCATTGTCATTATGAAAATGGAAGCAAAATAATCATAAGAGGAAACAATCTTAAGACAAGATCTTAAACTCAAAATGATCATTAATAGACATTGAAGCTCTTCACATCAAATAAAGCTCTAGTTCATGGAAAGGTCATATATATACATTACATCCCCAAATGTAAATAAAAAATAAGACATGCTTACAAGAAGGAGTTTCATCACCTCCATAGAAGGGAGTTAGTTACCCATTGCCAAGCTAGAAGAAGGAAGAAGCTCCATCTTCATGGATATTTTCGTGCAACCTCCTTGGAGCTTCAAGAACACCTTTCTTGCTCTCTTCTCTCTCCTCTAATCTTGTAGAAATGTAGGATTATGAAATGTGTGGCTCTTATCCCTCTTATCTACCACCAAACTAGGCTCTCTCTTTCCTCCAAAAACATCCCCAACCACCTCATTAATAGGGAAATCCAAAGTTGGAAATTTCAGAGCACAAGTGGGCTGTCTCGTGGAGCAAACTGCCCAAATTTCGAGTGCTCGAAATAGGGCCTCGAGCACTCGAATTTAGTGTAAAAAGCTCCATGTTTCACTTGCTCGGCCCAGAACTACTTTGATGAAATGGCCATAACTTTGCGCTCCAAACTCCGAATGACGAACTGTTTAAAGATTTAGAGAGCTGATTCAGAGCTTTAAAAACTTCATGCTTTGATGAAGACCCAAATCTCAAGTCTAGTTGGTCGAAAATGGGGAGAAAGGCAGTACTTCAGTGCTGCCAGGCAGTTCTGCGCACCTCTGGTAACAAGGCCATAAATCTCTGCTCCGAGCTCCGAATGATGAACCGTTTGAAGATTTAGAAAGCTAATTCAGAGCTCTAAATCTTTCATGTTATGATGGAAGTCCAGTTCTTGAGCTTTCTAGGTCAAAATGGCAAGCAAAGTCCTGACTCCACTGCTGATCTCGTGAAGCAATCTGCCCTAATTTCGAGCACTCGAAATAAGGCCTCGAGCACTCCAAAATTGGCCAGAATGCCTTATGCTTGGTTTGCTCCGCCCGGAACTACTTTGGTAAAACAGCCATAACTTTGCGTTCTGAACTCCAAATGATAAAACGTTTAAAGATTTGGAAAGCTAATTCAGAGCTCTAAAAACTTCATGTTTTGGTGGAGATCCAATTCTCAAGGATGGTTGGTCGAAAATGAAGATCAAGGCAGAATTTCATTGCTACCAGGCAGTTCTGCGCACCTCTGGTAACAAGGCCATAACTCTCTGCTCCGAGCTCCGAATGATGAACCGCTTGAAGATTTGGAAAGCTGATTCAGAGCTCTAAATATGCCATTTTATAATGGAAGTCCATTTCTTGAGTTTGCAAGGTCAAAATGGCAAGTAAATTCCTGACTCCACTGTTGCCAGAAATTCAGAATTGTGCCTTTTGATGGCCAAAACTCCACAAAGCCTTGATTTTGCTCCTTTTTTGGCAAATGGACCTGAAAATATATACATACACACAAATGAAGATAATCTACTTAAATAATCAAATGATGGACTTAACTAATGCAATTTAGGGCGCTTGAATATACAATATTCGGCGCTTATCAAGGAGTGAGGAGTCGAGGACTGAGAGGAGGCGGCAGTGCAGAGGGCAGAGGCTCATAGCTTGCAGATCGGAATCATTGGATCCATATAGTAGCTTACAGGTTCGGCCAGGTATGTTATATATTTATTTTCTTCCTTGATCAAGAAATTTCAAGAATCTCCAACTACTAATTAACAGGATCCATGACGGTGAGGAGAGAATTCAACCAATTGAAAAATAATAGGAAATATATACACACAAAGATATAATAAATAACTTCAAATCCTGTTTTGAATATATATATAATTTTGAATAGACTGGTTTGATGAATTATTATTATTATTTTTTATTTCTAGTGTTTGGAAACCTGCTTTGAATTAAAAAAAAATAGAGGTAGATTTAGGGCAGTAAAATAGAGGAATGTTGAGGTAAATTAAGAGAGATGGAGAGGAGAACAGATCTAAAAGCAAAGCTATGCATATGCATAATTTATTCAGTGAAATCAGTTTTTTTTATAATGGCTAACTCTCCATCACAACTTGTGATTCACAAGTACATAATATAATATTTTTATAATGGATTAAGGAAAAAAAAATAGAGAAAAAGACGAGCAATTCATGGAACAATAATACTATTACAAAACTCAAACCTAAGAGAGAATGAAGTTCCATTGGTAGAAACCTAAGAGCACGGTCTAGAGAGAGAAAGAGGATATGAGGTAGAGAGAGAGAGGGACTATGGGGATATAGATAGAACAAACACAGTTGAATTGAGTTGTGATGTGAATGAGAAGTGTTGTCCAATCCTAGTGTCTCTCCTCTTCTCTATGTAGCCGCTCATACAGCTCTTTCTACAGTAGAAACATGAAACGAAGTGAGGAACTGAGCAGGTGTTGTTTTTGGTGTTGGGAAGAAAAGTGCACAGAAAAGGAAATTATGGAGAAGGTACTAAACTAAGCACACAGTCACACACACAATCGTATATACCCTTTTTTTATATTTAATATATATATATGTACCTCAGGATTAATCTTAGTTAATACATAACTTTCTGTTGGCTCCATGATTTTAGTATTTTACAGAATATATATATATATACACACACACACACACACACACACAAACAGTAGGTTCTAGCTTCAAATTAAGAAGTATATATGTGTAGTGAATTTAATTAATTTGTTGCAGGAAAAGCAGGTATAAGGCTTAATACACCTGATCTGCTTTCTTATCCGTATTTCTAATCCTGCCAACTAGTTATATGAATTATATGAATGCAAAACTTTTGATTGGTTGAATAACTTGAATTATATGAATATTGAAATAGATGTCATCAGCTGGAAGTTTTGGTAAAACTACAAGAAAAAATGCTCTGGGACAAAGATTAGATCCGGGATGGGAACATGGGGTTGAGGATGGGACTTTAAAAAAAGTGAAGTGTCGGTATTGCAACACTTCCCATTCTGGGGGTATTTATCGGCATAAACATCACTTGGCTGGCACTCATTTAAATGTTGAGCTGTGTCCACAAGTGCCCGAAGAAGTGAGAACACAATTTCAAAAAATTCTTCAAGCTCATTCAGAGGAAAGTCAAAAGAAGAAGAAACAAAACTTATATGATGTTGATATCGATGATGATGATAGTGAATGTATAGCCTTAGAACAATCAAAGAAGCGGAAGCAAGGTGGTGCAATGGATGGATTTGTAACAAAGAATTCGTCACAGCAAACAACATTGAATGAGAAATTTAAAAAGGAAGAGAGAGATGCAGTATGTCAAATCATAGCCCGATTTTTTTATACCAGTGCTATACCATTCAATTGTGTGAACAATCCCATATTTCCTCTTATGATTAAAAGGATTGGAGAGTATGGGAGGGGGCTTAATCCTCCTTCTTATCATGAAATTAGAGAGACATTCTTGAAGAAGGAAGTAAGTGAAGCATTGAATATACTCGAGAATTTTAGAGGAGAATGGGTGAAGACTGGATGTACTATTATGTCAGATGGGTGGTCTGACAGGAGGAGACGTTCAATATGTAATTTTCTTGTCAATAGCCCATCGGGAACTATCTTTTTGTCATCCCGAGATACTTCTGATATTTCAAAAATTGGCCAAATGGTTTTTGAAATGTTAGATGAGATTGTGGAAAAAGTTGGAGAAGAAAATGTTGTACAAGTTGTGACTGATAATGCTTCTAACTACAAATTGGCTGGAGAGATGTTGATGGAAAAGAGGAAAAAATTATTTTGGACACCTTGTGCCGCTCATTGCATTGATTTGATGTTGGAGGATTTTGAGAAAAAAATTGAGATGCATAGTGAGACAATTGAAGATGGAAGGATGATTGTTTCATACATTTATTCAAGGTGTATGCTTAACCATTGGATGAAGGAATTCACAAATGGCAAGGAGCTTATTAGACCTGCAGTGACGCGATTTGCCACTTCTTACTTAACTTTGCAGCGTCTTAATGAACTAAAAGGAGAATTGATGAATCTTTTTACAACCTCTAAGTGGAAGTCTAGTAAGTTTGCAAGGACACGTAAAGGGAAAAGAGTTGAAGGCGTGGCTTTAGACAATCGTAACTTCTGGACAAATGTTGCCAATTGTCTAAGAGCTGCAATACCTCTTGTTAAAGTACTCCGATTGGTGGATTCTGATAAGAGACCGGCTATGGGATTCATTTATGGAGCAATGGATCGTGCCAAGGAGGAAATTAAGAAAAACTTCAATGGCATCAAAAAGTGGTAAAGTTTTAATTTATTTAAAAACTAAAAGAGTAATAGAGTTTTTTATTGTTTAGAATATAGTATTGTTTGTAAATAGTGAAACTGAAAATTATTAGACTTACATTAAATTAACGATTTTATAGGTATGAACCTATTTGTACGATCATTGATGCAAGATGGGCATCTCAACTTCATCAACCCTTGCATGCGGCAGCATATTTTCTGAATCCCCAATTCCAATATAGTCCAAGTTTCCATTTAGATGCAGATGTGAAAATAGGAGTTTATAAATGTCTCCAAAGAATGGTTCCTGATTCTAATGAGAGAGTAAAAATTGATTGCCAAATGGACACATTCAAAGCTGCAAGAGGGCTCTTTGGCCTAGATAATGCAATATTGACAAGGAACAAGAAGTCTCCAGGTTAGAAAATGCAATATTGATATTTGATAATTTATTATATTTCGTAATTCAAATGTCAATTGAAAATTGAATAGTTTTAACTTTAATGTTATAATTTTTTTAAAATAATAGCTGAATGGTGGGATTCATATGGTGATGAGTACCCCGAGTTGAAGCGGTTTGCAATTAGAATATTGAGTTTAACATGTAGCTCTTCGGGATGTGAAAGGAATTGGAGTGCCTTTGAGATGGTAAATTACTGAATAATGCATAGTTCTAAAATTTTAATAATGTTGTTGTTTAATTTTAAGTTTTAACCTCATTGGTAATATATTTAGGTGCATTCAAAAAGGAGAAACCGGTTGCAACAAAAGAAAATGAATGATTTGGTATTTGTTATGTATAACATAAAATTGAAGGAGAGGAACTTGAAAAGACAAGCTGTCATAGAACCAATTATTTTTGAAAATGTCTCTTCCGATGATGAATGGATTACTGAAAAAGAGGATCCGGTTCTTCCAACAAAAACTAAATGGTTGAGGGTTCTTGATGACAAAGTTCAAGAAGATGATTCCGATGAAGAAGATGAAGTAGAAAGGATGACTAGGACACGTGAGAACTTAAATTTTAAACTTTTATTATAATATTGTATAAGTTATTACATTATATTAATTTTTGTTCTTTCTTTATGCTTTGTAGTTGAGGAAATTTATGCAATTGATGATAATGAAGATTTGCAGCCATTAAATCCTATTGATGAAGCTAATGAGGAAGATGGTGCAGGGTTCAATGATGACTTTATGGATATGTAATTTTAGTTTCTAACTTTGGAGAGGGATGAGCTAGGATTTGAGATTTATGGACTATTTTATTTTGTGTTACATCCTCTTTTATTTATATTCAGACTTTGGAATATTTTCTTTTACTTTTATTTATATTCGGACTTTAGAATATTGTTAGGATTTAAGATTTGAAGTCATAGATATGTAATATGGTATGTTTTGGCCTTATTTTGGTTATATTTTACATATCTTATTGTTTAGGAAGTTAGTTTCAATTATTTTTTCACAATTTGGTAGAATCTTACGATTCACGATCCGATTCTACGATTCCGATTCTACGGAGTCCAAAACGATTCTACGTAGAATCCCGATTTTAACAACCTTGTAGGGGACTGGGGCGGACGCCAAAGAGTCAAAGCCACCTTTTGGCGGAGGTCTGTTGAGATGTCCCTCTATTAGAGAGGGCACTCGACCCTCTCAAGAAGACGCCAGCTGACAAACCATTTCTTAATTATAAGAAAAAGCAATTTGTCCGTTATATTATGATTTTTATTTATTTTTTAAATATTGCCCTAAATAACTACTATGTGGTACTCCAAATCAATGAAAGAGTCTCATTTTCTCTTATAATTAAATCTGTCAATGACTCAAATGAATTGAATTTCAATTCAAATTCGATTTGATAACTTTGAAATGAATTGAATATCTAATTAGATAGTCTGTTAATAATTTGAATTCAAGTTACGTTAACAAATTAGATGTGAATTATTAATTCGAATAATCCAATCAGACTAAATATAAAATAGGCTATACAAATATCATATGCCTACGTAGTTAGTTGATTATAAAATTGTTAAAAAATATTATTTTCATAAAGTTTTGTATTATTTTTTTTGAAAAGCAATATTAATTTCTTTTCTTCCCCTATTTTTTTTTTCTTCGCCGTGTCCGACACCGTGTCCAACATGAAAAAAATGATAAAAAAAATAGGACACCTTTACAGAGGAGTCGGACACGTGCACGTGTCGGAGCCTCATACACGCGTATTCGTGTCGGATGCCCATTCCCACGTGTCGGTGCTTCATAGCTTCAGATCAATACTTGTTCGTATACCCATTAAGATATTTGAAAATTGAATATAAATGAGGAAACTATTTATAAATTAGGGTTTCTTCTTATCGTCCACATTATTCTTCTTGAGGGTTCAGTATCGCATTAAAGGGATTAAAAGGCATTGAGGTAACGCAATCTAAAATTCCTTATAATCTTGAAACAAAATTCCCAAAACCCATCTTTTTAAGATAGGGTTTATCCACAGTTTAATTTCATTCTTTCAATGAAATAGTTCTCTTTGGTCTCTTACCTAGCTTGCAAAGGAAAACTCACTTTTTTTTAAAAAATGGTATCCTTTAGTCTTGGTTTGCATGCACCGTGTAACTCAAGACTTTGGATTAAAAGGCGTTGAGAAAAAAATTAAAGGTGGTTGAGATAAATATTAATGGTGTTGACGTAAACATTATAAGGCAAGACAAAAATTAAAAGACATTGAGAAAAAGATTAAAATTTGTTAATGTAAAGATTAAAGGTATTGAGAGAATAAGATTACAAGGGGTTAAGAACAAGATTAAAGCATTTAGATTACGCACTCTAAAATTTCTTATAATCTTGAAACAAAATTCCCGAAACCTAACTTTTCACTCTAGGGTTTATCCACAATTTAATTTCATTCTTTCAATTCATTATCCTCTATTCATTAACGAGCGTGAGCTGTTACATACCATCATATGAAATATAAATGGAACACTTCTAGATGAATCCTTCCTCAGCACATGCAAACAACATTCTACTTCAATAGAAGATATCCTTCTCTATCCGTCCCCATCTTCTTGAATTCGCCCACACATTATCCTCAGAAATATCTGAATCATCTTACTGATTAGTTTGTCCCAAAACAATCCCATGGTATGAGTTTGGTTTTACACGCTTGCCGGTGTTCCACTTCCATTGATTCATATATATATATATCTATATATATATATACACACTACTATATATATTATATATAAACAAAAATAAACAATTCTCTCTTATATCAATCAATTATACATTAACGTGAAGAGGGAGATCGGTAAGAAAGTAAATTTTCAATTTAATTTAATTTTTTTTAAATTATTTTATCATTAATGCCGTTGGGTTTCACCGTTTCACTTTTAAATTACCTTTTAAAAAGCATACTTTAAATGACCTTATTTGCATTATATCATGAGTATAGGAGGACTGATCCTCTAGTCCTTATTTGAATAAAAAAGAAAAAAAATTGAATATAAATGAGGATGCCTAAGTGAGTAGCAAGCTTTAACAAAAACTATATATAAGGGTTCTTAAGGGTTCTATGTCACATTGAGGGTCTTGAGGGTTCATCTAGACGATGGTAGACAAAGGGTATTAGACCTACACAGTCATCCTTTATTCAAGGCAGACACATTGATGACTCCATTCTCTTTGCACAAGAACTCCTCAGTGGTTACAGTAATACTCCTAATTTTAAAAGGATAGTCTCGGCATTTTAATTATTATTTAGTGTATTTTTGTTTGATTATTTGCTTATTGGCCTATTTGTTAATTGTTTTTATTTAATTAAATTCTTTGTTAATTGTTTTATTTAATTGAGTTGTTTGTTTTAATTAATTGTTTTATTTAATTGAGTTATTTGTTTTAATTCTTTGTTTTCATTAATGTTATGCTTAGGTGGCAGTGTATAATTATGTGCGTTATTTCTTTATTGGTTTAATTAAATATTAGATTATAATTGTTTTCATTGTGTAAATTAAATGGCTTTAATTTAGGATTTTTATGGATGAAGTAGCCGACTTACAGTTAGGTTGGAATTAGGATTAGTTTTTAAAGAAGCCAATATATATATAAGTTATGTGTCTGCTAAGGGTTTTAGAACCTTATTCACGTACTGTGAGGCAAAGAGAAACAGAGAGGGATTTGGGAGGAAAAGAGAGAGAAACATAGAGAGGCTCAAGGAGGAAAGAAATGGTATTGCTCATGGATTGAACCAAGAGGCAACAGAGGAGGAGAACAGTGAACAGAGGAGAAGGGATTTGTCAGAACTCAAAGACGGTAGTTTAAGGTTTCAAAACTGAAATCGAAGGCAAGTTTTATTCTAACTCCTTCTCTTAAACCTGTATTTTGTGCATGCTATATAGTCTCCAGGAATTTAATCAAACTTTTAAAACGTATGTTTATGCATGTTAAATCAGGCTATAAACTGTTCTACGTTTTATGTAGCTGAAATTATTTTATTGCATGAGCTGTTATGGATTTTTTTTTTCAATTTTTGTCAAGCAATTCATATTGGGTTTTGCAGAGGTTCTGGAACTTTTGAAACTTAAATTGGATCCTAAAAATCTTAATAAAATCAGTATAGAGGGTTCGGTACTTCATCGGAAGCAAAGAAGACGAACAGAAGGAGCGTTGCATAGCTCTCAGGGAGAGAGCCGGCTCCCTAATGGAGGGATCCGGCTCCGTAGGTGAGAGAGTTGGCTCTCTAAGAGGGAGAGCCGGCTCCCTTGCTGTAACACCCAGATGGGTGTATTTTTGGTGTTTTCTAATGATAGGGGCCTAAAATGTAATTTTGTAATTCAACTGGGGGTTTTTTAAAAAATGTTTTGAACATGTTAAAGACCCAGAAATTTTGGTTTAGGCTATGGTAAGGGACATCATGAAATATAAATATTAATATGCGTGCTTTCAAGGAGGGAGGAAGATTTAATTGCTAGTTTTTGTTTAGCAACTTAAATGGACTAGTATGAGTATATTTTTAAGATATCAGTATAATGTGCTCAGCTTATACTTCTGAGTATCATTATATCATGCTCTGGATTAGTAATTGAGGATTAAATGGACACCATGAAATTTATGTATTAAATTGCATGCTGTTAAGGATGGTGGAAGATTTAATTGCTAGTTTTGTTTTAGCCAATTAAATGGATTAGTCTGGAAGTATTTTTGGGATTCCAGTATAATGTGCTTAGTTTACCATTATGATTATCATGATATTATGTTGTAGATGTTAGTTGACGAACTATTATAATTTCTGTTCTGTTAGTTATATGGATATAGATGATTTAAATTGTTTATTTCACTCTAGTAATTTAAACGGAGGTTATATGATTATCATCATATACTGGATGCGTAGTAGGATCTTGCATATATCTGACTTCTATTATGTTTGTCTCTGGATGTATTTAATGTTCAAATGAGTGTGCATCATTTATGGATCATATGCATTATATGCACCGATATGGGACGGTGGTATATTAGGGATGGATTAGATCAAAACGTTAATTCCTACCTATTCATACATATGGAATGGATTAACTAAAATAGTTAAATCATACATGGATTCATGTCTTGTTAACTAAAATAGTTGAACGACATAATGGATGTTTGTTTTATTTTATGTACTAGGAAGGATTTATATATATACTTATGGTACCATGATATGAGCTTTAGTCTCAGGATCATGGTTAGGGTGCGTATATCGCCTGGGATGAGTAATTAGATATAGTTGATGTTTCCTAGTAGGTCTAGGTACACATGCACACTGTAATGTGTAATTTACATGTTACCTTCTATTCAGGCTGATAGTACACTATAGGCTAGTGAGCGTCCTATAGTGTGTATTTATATCTATATGGACTACTTTA